CATAAATTGATTATGTCTTGAGGTGGAGGATATCTCCAAAAGTGATTGTGGAGTTTGTAAGTTTTATGAGAATGCCAATATTTTAACATAAGTTTGATACTGTAAAGTTGGCATATGTTGGATCTTGTTTTTCTCTATTTTTCGTACTTCAATCTTAGATCTGTTTTTGGTGCAGTCTACAATCCTCAAGGTTGGTATCATGCCAATGTTGTGTTGGTGCTGTGAAAAGGGTTCTTGGAAAACTTAAGGTTTGTTGATAGCTCTTGCATTTATCTAGTTCCATTATCTTGCTTTACTTTATTCGCCTGCCAAGACACATATTCACTTCACCCATGTTTATAATAACTTTTATATTGCAATTGAGTAGTACGAAATCGCGTGCATGAATGTGAACTTTAATTTTACAATGGTACTATCTTGTGAAAGTTTCTATATAAAGAATTGGGTCATTTAGAAAAGCCAACAATCTGTATGAATATAGGATTCTTGAAGGTAGTCCTTCACTGGAGAAACCACAGATAGATTTCTCAAACGTATATATAACTCAACAAACTTCAAGCTCAGCTATTAAATGATGGTATTGGTTTCTGTTATGAATTTTGGAATTGGTTTATATTTTGAAATTGGTTTTAGTTGTGATTGAATGTTATGTTTTTGTTTCCATTGTGATTGAATGATTTGCTTCTAATATGCATTTTTGATCCGTTTTATACAGATGGAAGATTGTCTTGATTCAAGTGGCAGCATCCTCTTGGGGAGGAAATTACTATAACTTTCAGCTTAAATTCGGTACCAAGAGGAGATATCGTCGAATTTTGCTGATAGATATAAAACGTGTTAAAATTCCCGACCAAGAGGAGATGTAAATTTTTTGTTTTTTTGCCACTTTCTTATGTATATCTTAAGATGTAATGAGATAACATTGTTTGTTCATCAATTTATGAAAGTCAAGTTAGAAGGAAATTTGTCAATCTCTAGTTTCCATGGTTTTATCTTTCCCCTTGCAAAGAAGAAAAATACAAATGTAACCAAATCAGTGATTTCATTGGCAAATGCCATGACAGATATGTATTGCATATGTATTGCACATGTATAGCCCTTTATTGCTTGTGTATTGCCTCAGTATATCCTTTTTTTTAAAGTCTGTTGGAATAAATTTATAGGGGGAGTATGAAGTTTGTGTATTGCCATTAAATAGTCTTTTATTGCTTGTGTATTGCCATTGTATAACCTTTTATTGCTTGTGTATTGCTACTGTATTGCCCCCTCATATATTTATTTTTTTCAAGTCAGTGTTGGAATAAATTTATAGGGGAAGTATGGAGTATGTGTATTGCCATTGTATAGCCCTTTATTGCATGTGTATTGCTACTGTATTGCCCTCGTATATCCTTTTTTTTTTCAAGTCTGTATTGAGGGTGTTTATTGCTACTATATTGCCCCCGTATATCCTTATTTTTTTCAAGTCTATATTGAGGGTATAAAGGTGGGGATGGGGGAAAAAAGCTTCACAGGAATGGGGATGGGAAGGGCATACCCACCCCCGATTCGACCCATTGTCATCCACAAAGGCAAGAAGAATGAGTTATATATACACATAAGGTATATAATGTGCTCTCTTCAATGTATAATTGAATAAAAGTATTTTTCCATTGCATACACTTGTGAATATATAAAAACAAAAGATTCAAGATTGAAATTTCTCAAGTAAATTGAACTCAATTTCATTCCATGAGGACTAAATAATTAAATGGTCTGTCAGATACACAAGTAGTCCCTCAATTACATGTTTTTTTTTCCTTATAACTACAATACACTTCTTGCAACTAAATGGAATGTTTTCCCAACCCAAATTGATGAAGGTTCTCAATGACAACAATCTTCTAGAAGCCAAAAATCTAGGTCTAACTGTCATGAAAAAAAAGAGTCAATTATCTCAAGACTTAAGAGTTAGGATTTTGAATCACTAGAGACCAATCTTGTGGGACAAATTTCCTTCTAACTTGGCTTTCATAAATTGATGAACAAACAATGTTATCTCATTACATCTTAAGATATACATAAGAAAGTGGCAAAAAATAAAAAATTTACATCTCCTCTTGGTCTTGAATTTTAACACATTAGCAAAATTCGACGACATCTCCTCTTAGAACCGAATTTAAGCTGAAAGTTAGCAATTTCCTCCCCAAGAGAACGCTGCCATATGTATAAAATGGATATAAAAAAATGCATATTAGAAGCAAATCATTCAATCAAAATGGAAGCAAAAACATAACATTCAATCACAACTGAAACCAATTTCAAAACAGAAACCAATTCCAAAATTCATAACAAAAACCAATACCAAAACAGATTCAAAAACCAATACCAAAACAAGTTCAGACATATTTACAGGCACTACAAGTATCATAAACATACACTTACATGCAGTACAACAAATAGAGTGGATAAATGTAAAACTGCAGTATGACATACATTTTTTAATAGAAGAAAGAAATAAAAAATTATGATATACATCATTTAAGAGTTGAGCTTGAAGTTTTACAGTATGACATACATTTTTTAATAGAAGAAAGAAATAAAAAATTATGATATACATCATTTAAGAGCTGAGCTTGAAGTTTGCTGAGTTATATGTACCTATGAGAAATCTATCTGTGGTTTCTCCAGTGAAAGACTACCTTCAAGAATCCTATCTTCATACAGATTGTTGACTTTTCTAAATGACCCAATTCTTCATATAGCAAACTTTCACAAGATAGTACCATTGCAAAATTAAAGTTCACATTCATGGACACGATTTCGTACTACTAAATTGCAATATAAGTTATTATAAACATGGGTGAAGTGAATATGTGTCTTGGCAGGCGAATAAAAATACAAATCAGGAAATCATCAATAGTGCACTTTGCATTGTTCAAACAGTTAAAGAAGCACAGTCTCAGAGAAGAAGAAGAGCAAGACAATGGAACTGGATAAATGCAAGAGCTGTCAACAAACCTTCAAGTTTTCCAAGAACCCTTTTCACGGCACCAACACAACCTTGGCATGATACCAACCTTGAGGACTATAAACTGCACCAAAAACATCCAAGATTGAATTACAAAAAATAGAGAAAACCAAGATCCAACATATGCCAACTTTACAGTATCAAACTTATGTATTGGCACTCTTATAAAACTTACAAACTCCACAGTCACTTTTGGAGATATCCTCCACCTCAAGACATAATCAATCTATATAGTTCATTCAAAAATCACATCCCAAAATAGAACAAACAAATTCATATCATTGAACCAAATAACTGTGTTTCTTCAATTGTTTTTTGTCAAAATAAAAACCTAACTTAGTAATCAAATTCAATAAGCAAAATAAAATCTTCAAAATCATTGTAGACTGGACAAGCTTCAAGCATAATATTCCTTAAGACAAACTGAGAAATATTTGTTGCACAATCCCAAAATTTTGGTTCAAAAAGTTCTTGTATAATGCCACTGAAATAACATTCTCTACACAAGCTGAAAATATTAATTGTAAACAGAGAGAGTAAAATTTTAAATTCAACCCACAATTATGTTTCAAAAAATTTATGTACAATCTCACCCAAATTTGACTTGGAGGGACTTGAACTCACATCAAGCACCAAAAATCCAAACCCATATATGAAATTGAAATAAGGAGAAGAAAACCCAAATGTGTAGGAGAAAATTGGCTACCTGAGACGCCATCTCTAGGTATAGAGGTCGAAAGAGGTGACAGAGAGTGAGAGATGGAGGTGGAAAGGTCGTTGTCGCCGATGTGGGTTAGGGTTTCTGAGGAGGTGACAGTGATTGTCGCCGATGTGGGTGCGAGCGAGAGAGAGAGAGAGAGAGAGAGGAGAGGAGATGAGGGTTGAGTGAGTGAGATCCAGAAATTGTGAAAGAGGATTTCAGAGAGCTCAAAATGATTAAACAAAAGTGAAAGAAGGGTAATAGGCTGTCAATAGGGAGTTTTTATAAGGTGCATTTGTGATTGAGTTTCAAAATAAGGATATTAGTGAATAAATTAGGTGAGCCAGGGGTAAAGCCGCCAATTTCCCAATAAATTAGCTGCGCCGGGGGCAAAGCCGCCAATTTCCCTAGAAAATAAACCTTTGGGCTAGTTCAAGTGGATTTAAAGGGAATTATCTATTAAATTGATAAATTATCTAAAATCCCTCAATGATATTGTTTCTTAGCAGTAAAGACAAGTTAATTAAATTAATTGATCTTAATTGATTAGGTCTGATCCTCATGAATAGCGTACCCTAGTAGACCATGGACCTATGAGCTAGGGCAAAAGTCATATAAAAAGGGGAGATTATTTTTTTTTTGGTGAGAACCAAGGTATCCCCCGCGCGACTGCGGGGACTAACCCTCGAGGTACTGTCGGGCGCAAAGCGGGGACCTCTCCCAACAAAGTCTGCTCTATTCGCAAGCGCCTGGGATCAAACCCAGGACCTCTTGTTTAAAGGATCCAAGCCCCTTCCACTTGGACCAACTCCTGTTGGTAAGGGGAGATTATTCATTGTTAAGACACACAACTTTTCAACAATCAACTTGATCCTCATAAATATGACACGTCGAAGACTTAATCACAGACTCATCAGCAGCATGGTGGATAAGGTGCAGTGGGTGATTGAGAAAGGGAGGGGTTTGAATCCCTTTTGTGCGCAAGAGCGAGGCTTTTCAATATTTTTCTTGTATTTTAAAAATTATTTAAAAATGATTATTAGTCTATACAAATCACTCTCAAACGAGTCCTTATAAAAACGCTTATGAGTTGAATCTGAAGTTAGGTAACACCAAACCCAACTTTGGACAGCAACAGAAGCAAAATTATATGGACTATGGGGGGCGTAATCTCACTAATGAGGCCCCGAACCCTTAACGTACGTTTCTCCGCCTGCACTCTATCACTAATGGCGGTCCCCCCCACTAATATTCCTCCACGCAAGCCAAAACAATATGGGCGGCTACCAGATGGCGCAATCAGCGATCCTATTGGCTCTGCAAATGGGTGGAACTACGTCACCCCCCACTTCGCCGTAGAGTAGTTTTTCCCCATCCCCACCGTTACAATTATAAATACCCAAAGCCCCGCACTTGGAGAGTTGGACTGTTGGATAGTGGAACTGAACAGAGTGAAAAATCAAAGACTTGTCGAACTCGCAGCATTTCTTCACGAATTCAAATCTGTCTTAGGGTCTGTTTTGGTGCTCACTTCAGGTTCATATTTTATACTTTTCCTATATATTTGCTTGTGTCAATAATAATATTTCAAGCTTCTTGTATCTGTTGCTGTTCTTCTCTGAAATGTGATTTTGAATTTTTATTTTTTTTATTTTTCATTATCTGTTTGATGGAATTGATAGAATTTGTAATAATGGTTCTTATTGTTGCACTTGAATGGTTTTGACCTATCCACTGTTTTATTATCTGTGTGCAATGTGATATTCTAAGAAAATGATAATGGATTTGTATGAATGTTACAAAAGAATTTGGATTTTAATGAGTGAAGTATAGCTGCCAACCATAGTGATTTCATGAATAATCACTACCATTTTGTCAATTGGGGCTGTTATTTCATTCTCATTTGGTTAGGAAATCCGGTTTGCTGAGAAAAAATGCATATTTGAGGTGTAACTCAGTTTTATCTTTTCCTTCTCTCTTTGGGTGTTTTCTTTCAGGTATTTTTGGGCTTGTGACTTCTTTTTTGGTTGGAACAATGTCAATTTCCGTAAATTCATCAGACCGGGTTTGTGGAAATGGAATCCAGCATGTTGAACTACTTCCTGCAACCAATGATGTCCATGGAGGAGTTATTGTAGACATGAAGGATGCTATGGATGCTCAACACTTTCTTACTCTGCTTAGGGCTTCAATCTCACAATGGAGGAGAGAGGTGCTATTATCTATTATATATTTTATCGGATATCAACTTGTTCATTAAACAATTTTCGTTTAATAGTTTGATGGAGTCTTTAATCAATATTTTAAGGATATTAAAGGAAAGGTTGTAGAGTAAAATTCTTCTCCTCTAATTCCGCATCATCATGAAGAGCATAAAGAAAAGTATGAAAAAATTTGAGGTTGTGGATTGCAATAGGCAAGGATAACATGAAACTTTTGGAACAAGAATTATATGATGTAGACATCAAGCAAGGCAAGGGAGACTATGAAGCTCACAAAACAAGGAAAACACTAAGGTAGGAGTCATGCCATTTAATGAGCCTGTCAAGGAAATGGTTATAACTATTGATTTTATGTTTCCTGGTCAATCCACTTGCATGGCTGAAAAGAATTCATCTGTTGATCTTGCTAGTTGCTATTTCTGGCGCTAGATGAAAAAAATTGGTCGAAGCTCCAAAGTTGCAAATGAGTACTATGATATTACAAAATTTGAGATTGATTTTCTTAAAATCAGGTGAGAGTAATGGAGAATGATGAAAATCATAATTTCAGGGATTTTTATTGGGGAATTTTGAATGCAGATTTTAGTTTTAGTTTTGGAGAAACTGCTCAGTCTCAAAATTTGACATTGGTTTGAAACCAACTTTTAATAAATCCTTAGGTGTCGACTTGAACCCAAGTCATCTCTCAAGATTTCTGTCAGGGTTGTTTAATATTTAATACTGTAACTGAGATACGAAGTTGAGGTATGTGGTAGTAGGTAAAATCTTTCTTTGTTTACAATGTACCATCATATGGTATGATCTTTATCTAATAATTCAGCATGCCAGCAGTTTGACATATACTTAAATCTACTAATATGTATGTATGTATTTATGTTTGTGTATGTGTGTGATTAATGAATTTGGCAACATGGTTTATCTTTTTCTTGGTGGATATTCTGATTGTTTCTTCCTTCTATTCAATCATTTTCATATTCAGGGCAAGAAGGGTGTGTGGATAAAATTGCCAATTGAGCTTGTAAATCTTGTCGAAACGGCAGTTAAGGTAATTACTCTGCAGTACTAATACATTTGCACCGTAACTGTCTCCATAGACATTTTAATAATATCAACCCATAAGGTTGTTCTTAGTTTAGTGTTGCATTTTAAATGGGAACGTGACTGTCTTGATAGAAAAATAAAATATGAGCTATGTACTTACATAGAACCTGGAGGTCTTTGAACTCATACTCTGCATAGCTCTCATAAATATGTATATGTACAATGAAAAAGAAGGCAACGAGCTAATACTCTACATAGCTTCTGGCACAATAGGTTTTAACTTGAAGAAACTAAATTTCAACATAAAAATTAGTTTTATTTATTTTTCTTTCATCTTCTGTTTTTTAAAATAAATAAAAAATCAGGCAGTTAAGGTACAGTGCAGTTATGATTCGATGACGGCTTTATGTCATGTTCTGCCCATTAATCTTGATAAATCTGTTGTCTTGGCTTACACCTATTATGTTGATGCCAGGAGGGGTTTCGATATCATCATGCTGAGCCACACTACCTCATGCTTGTTTATTGGATTCCTGAAACTACTAATACTCTACCTGCAAATGCTTCACACCGAGTAGGTGTTGGGGCTATTGTTGTGAATGATAAAAGAGAGGTACTTGCTCTTATCTACCATTGCTTAATTGTTTTGGATAAATGTAAAACACTGAGTAGCTTGCTGGTACTATTGTTGTCTAATATTGCTTATCCATTGGACAAAGGTAGTACAAGAGAATCGTGTAATAACACATCTGCATGCATTTACTGGTTTAGTTAAATGAAATATCGCGGTCTTCTAATTCAGCTCTTGTGCATATATTCAAGTTTTTTACTTTGTTCATCACCCTTGTTCTTCTGTGTTTCTGATACAGTAGGCTTATCTTTTGTCTTCAGTTTGTCAACCTTGTCGTCATCTGTTGTTGGTTTTGAAATTAGATTTCTTCTGCGTAGATGCTTGTAGTCCAGGAGAAGAGTGGCAGGTTCCAAGGAACAGGTGTGTGGAAAATCCCAACTGGAGTTGTTGACGAGGTATTTACCTTAAGGTCCTGGACTAAGAAGTTTTTTAATTATTCAAAACTATGATGCTTGTTACTTTTGGACATTAAATGAGCTCTTCAATATAGGGTGAGGATATTTTTAAGGCAGTTGTAAGAGAAGTTAAAGAAGAGACAGGGGTAAGTTCTCAATGTCTATCAATATATATTGTTCCTTTCATACCTTGTAGTTTATGTTACCAATATTTTGGTGTGATGAAGACCACTGGTTTTAACTGCTTCAGATTGATGCAGAATTTTTGGAGGTATTAGCATTCAGGTACAAGTTTGCACACTCTTGAATCACTGTATGTTTTGATGGAATCGTTATATTATATCGAATTTGATTGGAGTGGGAAAAACTAAGTTATACATGTCAGAAAAGAGTCTCCAAAACGGGATTAGAAAGTCAACCCAAGTTCTCCTGGTATCTTTGGCTATCTAAAGTATATTTCAAGGATGTCACTGAAAGGGGGGTCACCTTGAAGATTGCGTAATTACTGGTTCACTCTTAGGAAAACCAACCTCATACAAAGTTCTTTTGTCATTTGGGTCATCTAGATGCTAAACTCTTTTTATATTGTGCTTTCCTAGAAAATGATGAAATGGAAATAGTTCTGCAGTTAGGAAAAATAGGAGATACTCAATTCTGACTGAATCAAAAGCAGGCTTTAGATTAAGCCAATGGTTCTTTCTCTAATCTGGTCCAGCTCCAATTCTATCTCTGATTCCACTACTTTAATCACATATCTCAAGCCATGTTTCTGATGAACATAAATCCTACTAGAGTACTGTGCAAGAGACTCTGGAATCAATCATGTAATTTGTTGGTGTTTCTTTTACTGCTTTTGGGGTCCATCAAAGGCTTTGCTTCTCATAAATACCAAATTTGTGGAACTCCAAATCTTTTCTTTTCTTCTTGTTTATATATAGTATGATATATAAACATAATATTGTGACATAGTCATGGTTTCGTGTTACCTTCAGGCAATCACACAAGTCATTCTTTGAGAAGTCAGATCTATTTTTCGTGTGTATGCTGCATCCTCTAACCTTTGACATCGAAAAGCAAGAACTGGAGATTGAGGCAGCCAAGGTACTTCTTGGTTGATAATGTGTTTGAAATGATGCTCAGATTTAATTTTGGTATATCATAATGTTTCAAACAAAAAAAATATAAAAAAATTATCTGTGAACTTAAGCAATCGTTGCTTCTCTTAGACATGCCAAAATTCAGATTCTTTCAAATATGAGAATTCAGTCAAATGCATGCACCAATTGACTAAAATTTTATGGCATTGTTTTATTTCATGTAGTGGATGCCACTTGAGGAGTATGCAGCTCAACCAGTCACCCAGAAGCATGCGCTCTTCAAGTACATTCTTGAACTGGGCTCAGCAAAATTAGACAGAGACTATGCTGGGTTTTCTCCACTGCATATAACATCAGTTTTTGACGATAAGTTGAGTTTTTTATATTTGAATAGGCAGCAGATGCAGTGTCTAAGTTCTCTTGATCAATCATCCTAGATGCTTTTATCATTTTTTTTCCGTAACCGTTTTATTACTTCAATTTATATTCCCTCCATTTATCTGTGTTTTCTGTAATGTTGGACTGGTTGATGTAGTAAGTAGTAGGTTGAGAGTATAAAGAATAGAGTCATAACTTATCACTTGTGATTTCAAGGGAGAACAGAGCATTTGCTTTTGTGACCAATGGGGAACAAACAAGGACCAAATTTGAGATCTCTTCTAACATTAGAGGGGAAAAAAATTACTAAATTAATTAAGACCTAATTGGTAAAAACTAAAACAAAAAATATTTGATGTGAAGCGACTGTCATCAAATTTAAGGTATGTGGAACTCACAAACGTGCTTGTACACATCAACGGTTTAGAGTCACCCGCGCATTGATTGTGCACACATCAACGACTTAGAGTCACCCACGCATTGATTGTTGTTATTAGACTCTCCCATTCCAAAAACAATTGTTGTTATTAGACTCTCCCATTCCAAAAACAAAAACATAAAAGAAAAATATATGGTTTTTTTTTTTGTTTTTTTGTTTTTCGAGTTGTCCATATGTTGTAGAAGCATGCATGTAAGTTAAAGCTTGTATGCTACCTGTACATTGTTATGACAAATGGTCTGCCATGCGGCATCAAATCCGGGATTCAGAAACCCAGTTGGAAGCTGGTGGTGGAATTCTACAAAATGAATTAATCCAATAAAGCTTCCTCGCTCATAATTCATTTCCCATCTTTCCTTCCTATATTTCTTTTCAACTTTTCATTCTAGCCGGAGGATAGAGGAGTAAGCAATGTTTCCTGCAAAACTTGTTTTTGTCACAGCACTCTGTTTCTCTGTCTTCTTCAACCTTGTTTTCACTGGGGAGATCACTAGAGATGCCGTATCTTCTCCTACAGACTGTGCCAATTGCCCTACATGTCAGTGCCCTCCTTCCATTCCAAATCCAGGGTACCCTTTATATGGCCCTCCTCCACCAGGACCACCACCCCCACCATCAATTCCTGGCTACCCGCCGCCGCCGCCGCCTCAACAGCATGGTCAAGGAAAATGCCCCCCAACTCAGCCTGGACAGTGCTGCCAGCCCCCTCAATATCTCTCTCCACCAGGTGCCTCAGGAGGATTTGTGCCTTACCCTGATGGCAACCATGCAGGTGCAGCTTCATCTGCTTTGCCAATCTTCCTTCCAGTTATGATGCTGTTGTTGTCCTCCTCAGCTGTTTTCTTTTAAGTCTGCATGCTATTTTCTGGTCTTTTTGTGTAGGAGTATATAAATTTTCTAAATCTCATGTATGTAAGCAATAAACCCTTTTTAATATTGTCAAAGGTAGGTTCTACTTTTATTATTATAATTTTGTTTATGAGTTCTGCAACTTGGGTTCATGTAAAATGTACTTAATTAATGTATTCTTCTCACTTTTCCGAAATGTATCGAAAAATCAATTGGTAATGGGTGGAGAAATCTGCGACACTATAAACAACTGAGGCAAAAAGCTTTCATTTCCCGGGGCAAATACTCTCAACATGAACTGCATGCGTGTTACAGAGAGAGAGAGAGATCGGTGGGCTTTGAGACAGAGGTCGGTATGTCTGTCTGTGCCACTGCCTAGTGACAAACTTGTGACGTTCTTTGAAATGAACTTATTCACCTTGTGTTTGTATGTATGTTGTGCATGACGACTGTCAAACATGTATCAATTGCTGGCGAATTTGAATTGCTCTGCTAAGCGGTACACAAGACGTGAGCAGCTATAACTCTCATAATTATCCAATTCACATTCTCTCATATTTTTTGTGCTGAGCTGATATTCATGTTCTTGTGCGTAAGAAATAAGTTTTCGTGTAGTAATAGAAGCATCAACTTGACCATTTCCAATCTTATGAGTCTCGAACCAAACCTAATTTTGAGACTCCAAACCTCATTATTCATCAAAATGTTATATAGAAGTGTTCATGATCTTTCACACAACCTCAAATACATAGAAGACATATCTCGATCTCAGAACTCATTCAATCGCAGTAGCAACAACACGAGCAAAAGATACGAACAACTTAAGACTTAATGTCTCTCTCTCTCTCTCTCTCTCTCTCTCTCTCTCTCTCTCTCTCTCTCTCTCTGAAACTGTTTTAGCTCTCTTTTTATAATGAGATTAGGGTTAGAGAACGTATCTGATGAGAGCAGGGCATTAAGCTTATATAGGGCTAGGTCAAGTTGTCTCTAGTCATCACCAAGGGCCGACTTGACTAACACTCTAAGCCCATTAAGCTTATATAGGGCTAGGTCAAGTTGGCTTCAAAACTTTCCTTATTTCACCTAATTTAAACTCTTATCAAACCTGATATAATTTGGTATCTAGTGCACCGATCTAAAATAGGAATACAACATTCTCCCACTAGATCAAGCATTAGAGCACTAAGCTTCTATATTGCAAAAGTTTGATAATCTTTATTGGTCATGAATTTAAAACAATTAAGTCTTTCCCTTCAAGCTATAGTGAAAAGCGATTAGACAAAACAAACTATAGACAAGCATTGCTCTCCTTTATTAAAAATAGGCCATCTATAATCACATAATGCAATCTCAAAACACATGAAGCACCTACAAACGCGAACCTTAACATGTATTGATCCGTAATGTGAATCTTTATGCTTTTTAGTACACATACCTCTTTATGACTTAGCAAGAGTCAATCTGCAATGTTACTAAAATAATAGTATCTCAAAGAGACCATAAACTCACATACATACACAAAATGCATAATAAGTTTAAACAGCTAAATAGTCAAAATGGTAGAAATTATTTAATAATAAAACTGTCAACCAAATAACATCCTTAAATGTAAATATCTCAATTCAGAAAACAGCAAATTAAACATACTAGAAAACTATCAGAATGGGAACAAGACTCCCGCTAGATTGCAACATCAAAGCTAGGAAATAATCCCATGCTCTCAACATGTCTCAAAAAAGGTTTTGAAGGCAGAAACTTTGTAAACGGATCTGCAATCATATCTTGAGTTTTGATATGATCAAACCTGAGTAGTTTGTATGCTACCTTCTCCCTGACTATTAAACAATTTCTGTCAATGTGTTGAAGTCCATACGACATCTTGTTGTTCATGCAGTGAATGACAGTCGATGCATTGTCATTGTATATCTGCACTGGTCTTGAAATCGAGTCCACCACCTTAATATCTTTGATAAAATTCCTTAGCCATACTGCATGAGAAGTGGCTTCATAGCAAGCTATGTATTCTGAAAACATAGTTGAACTCAAAACACCAGATTGTTTAGCACTCTTTCGAGCAACAGCTGCTCCTGCCATCTTAAAAAGAAAACTTGAAGTAGAGATGTAATCACCCTCTACTTTTCCAAGATTCGCATCAGCATAACCAACGAGCTCCAAATTCTCTATGCATCTGTAAATCAACATGTAAGCCTTTGTTCTTTGTAGGTACCCTAGAATCTTCTTTCCAGCTATCCAATGTTGCATTCCTGGATTTGACTGAAATCTCCACATCTTGTGGATGCACAAGGCTATGTCTGGCCTTGCACATACTTGTGCGTACATTATGCTTCCAATTAGAGAAGCATACGGCTTGTTCCTCATCTCAGCTTCTTCTTCTTTATTCTTGGGGCAGTGCTCCTTCTTCGAATCTCCTTTAGCTAATGGAACCTTTCTGTCCAGAACACATACTTATGCCAAAACGCTCGAGTACCCTTTCAATGTATGTTTTTTGCGACAAGCCTAGTAGACCTCAAGCTCTGTCTCTCTGAATTTCAATGCCTAACACAAAAGCAGCTTCACTCAAATCCTTCATCTCAAAATTGTTTGAAAGTAGCTCATTAGTGTCCTTCAATAAATTGTGATCATTTGTAGCCAAAAGTATATCATCGACATACAACACTAGAAAAATAAAATGACTCCCACACTTCTTTAGATAAATGCATTGATCAGCTATGTTCTCTTCAAAACCATAGGATGAGACGGTTTAATGAAATTTTAAATACCACATCCTACTTGCTTACTTCAGACCATAAATCGCCTAGTCAAAGTTTGCAAACCATATGTTGTTTTCCCTCCTTTGCAAACCCTTCAGGTTGCCACATTTGCTTCTTCAAGTTCACCATTAAGGAAGGCAGTTTTTACATCCATTTTATGTAAAAGCAAGTCATAATGCGCCACCAATGCCATAATTATGCGGACAGAATCTTTGGTGGAAACTGGAGAAAACGTCTCAGTGTAGTCAATGTCCTCTCTTTAGGTGAATCCTTTTGCTACGAATGTAGCCTTAAATCTTTCGATTTTTCCATCCTTATCCTTCTTTGTTTTAAACACCCATTTCAAGCCAACCAATTTATGGCTCTTGTAAGGTTCAACTAATTCTCATACTTGATTATTCTTCATGCTTTCGATTTCATTTAACATTGCTTCCCTCCATTTGTCTGCATTTTGACTCTCCATAGCATCATTAAAACTCATTGGATCAGCTTCATCTCCAATGTCAAAATCTACTTCACATAATCTGAAGTTGCTGTGGATTTTCTTGGTCTGTCAGATCTCCTCGGTTGCATTGGTTCTTGTTGATTATCTAGCTCAGGATTTTCGACAGCTTATTCTTATTGTTGTTTATCAACTGGTTCTTCGAACTGAGGAGGTTCCAATACAGTTTCACTTAAAGGAATCAAAAGTGTAACATCTTGTTCATCATTCTCAATCACAGCTACATTCCCTTCTTCAAAAATAAAATCTTCATTCCCAATAGCATTCTCCTCATGCTCTATAAACTTTGCACAACTAGTTTCAACAATTCAGGTACCATAATTTGGACAATAAAATTTAAAACTCTTTGACCTTGCAGGATAACCAATAAAATAGCAGCTAATCATTTTAGGATCAAGCTTCTTCTCTTGAGGGTTATAGATTCTAGCTTCAGCCTTACAACCCCATACATGAAGATGTCGCAAGCTAGGCTTTCTGGTGGTCCAAATTTCGAAAGGTGTCTTTGCTGGGCACTGTATTAAGTATTTAGTTTGCTATTTTAATCACCTCTCCCCATAGATGCATAGGCAAATCAATTTTGGAAATCATGCTACAAACCATATCTTTCTAAATTCGATTTCTTCTCTCAGCCACACCATTTTGTTAGGGAG